GCAAAAAAAAAAAAAAATATTCACAGCACAATTTCCTGAGATGTTAACAATGTGAGGTTTAGCGGTAAACTGACTCATACTCATGCATTCTCTCCTTTGTTTGTCACCTGAGAGGCATGTGACTGGTCATACAGGTATCAGCATGGAAGGGATGTCAGGTTGAGAAGTGAATTGCTCAAGATGGAACACGTTTGAGAATCGAGGTTTGACTGTATTTTTTAAAATATATTTTTATTGATTTCAGAGAGGGAGAGAGAGATAGAAACATCAATGATGAGAGAGAATCATTGATCGGCTGCCTCCTGCACGCAACCTGGGCATGTGCCCTTGACTGGAATCAAACCTGGGACTCTTCAGTCTGCAGGCTGATGCTCTATCCACTGAGTCAAACCAGCTAGGGCTTGACTGTATTTTTAAGAGCGTATAGAATTCCACAATAAAGATATACCATTGTTCATTCAACTATTCCTGTTGAAGAGCATTCAGGTTCTTCTGATTAGGTTGAACCATACAAAATTGTCATATTTGCAGGCTTTCTTTGTTGTATTTATTTTTATTTTTGAGAGAGAGAGAGAGAGAGAGAGAGAGAGAGAGAGAGAGAGAGAGAGAGGAAGGGGGGGAGAGATTTGTTGCTCTACTTATTTATGTAGTTATTGGTTGATTTTTGTATGTGCCCTGATCGGGGATGGAACTCACAACCTTGGCGCATTGGAACAAGACTCTAGCCAACTGAACTACCCAGCCAGGGCTGTTGTTTTTATTTTCCATTACAAACAATATTATAATAAATATCCATATACACATATCTCTGTAAACTTTTGTGTTTTTTTTTGTGGATAGGAAGCTGTGGGATTCTTGTTTAAAAGGGGTGTCTGTTCTACTCATTGAAAGTAGATTGCCTTCCTAAAATACTGGTATAATGTATGGTCGCATCAATGACCTTTTGGGAAGTTATGCCACATGCCCTTTTTTCAGTGCTTCTCTTAGCAGACTTCTCCATAGTCCATTGGATATGTCATTATTGATCACACCTTCTCTTGTGACACCACTATAATCCAGTCTTCCACCTGCCTCTTTTTGGTCTCTTTCCCTAGCTTCTCTTCTGTTTTTTCCTAGATGCTTGTATACCACATGGCTCTTCCCTAGCTCATTTTTTTCTAGTCACACTACATGCTCTGGTCTCCTGTTAGGTAAGTTTATGGTTTCAACTATAATCCCTATCTGCCCTCAGCCCACCAGTGAGGTGGCCCAAAGGCGACTTCCCCTGAATTAGAATAGGGTTTCCCTTCCTGAAGACGTTTTCCTGTCATTGTCCGGAAAACTGCGGTAATTATTCTTCAAGCACACTATTCAATATTCTACAGTATGTCCCTTGGGTTGTGTGGTGGCCAAGCTCCACAATCATCATTGATAGCTGTGTTTTCCATTTTTCCCCCTGAGTTCAAACTTTCATGTAACAAATTTCCAGCTGGGTGTTTTTATAGGCACTGCCAATATAAAAGAACCATTGTTTAACTATTATCATCATCACCCTCTCTTGAAATACTCCTTATGCATTTCTTAGTAAATGAGACTCCCATTCACTGGGATCCATAATTCAGAAACTTCATTCTAGACTTCTCTCTCTCAATTCAAACCTAATAGGTCACCAAGTCCTGCTGCTGTGATTTCCTATTCCTGAAATCCATTATTTCTTTTCAGCCCCCAGTGCTGCTGTCCTGACCATCCTTTTCAGAGACTAAAAATAACTTCTCACTGGTCTTCCTACTTTTTCCTTTGCTTCCCTTCTATTATCCACACTGCTGCCAGAGAACTTATTTAATATGCAAACCAAGGAGAAAAACCTTTAATGTCCACATTGTTAAGAGGCTAAAATCTTAGCACAACTTTAAACTGCTCTTTATTATCCAATATCTACTTAATGATCTTTACTCATTTCCTGACACTCTCTAAAAGCAATCTATGTTTCAGCTATATGGGTCTACTTCCAAATCCCCAACATGCTGCGCGCTTTCTAACAATTCCATGCCTTTGCCATGCTATCCTTCTGCTTGGAATTCTTTGCCCAGTCTTGTTGCCCTGACAAACTCTTACTTATATTTCAAACCTCAGTTTTAGGGTCATTTTCCTTCTGTAAATTCTTCAGGCAGACTTAAACACTTCTGCACGTGAGTTCCTTGATAGTATGGGTACACTCCTGCACTATAGAAATTTTAGTTATTTGTTGTATTAATGTTTCCAAACTAGGTTGTAAGCCCTTGAGGGTAGGGACTATGATTAATCTTATGTTTCATCCTCTGCAAATATTTGACACAGTGACTGGAATTGATTATTTACTAGGTAATTGAATGAATGCAAAAACGAATTAGTTAAGTAGTGAGAGGAATAGTATCTAGGCTTGGGTTTAAGCTTAAGCTATAGATTGGCACTTAAGTACCTTTAAAAAATTGTAAAAGAATATATAATACATTAAAGGAAACTTAAGAACAGGATAGTAAATATATTATTTCACCATCCTAATGCCTGTTTTAGTGCATTTACTTTCAGTCTTTGCTCAAATATGTGAGATATAGATATATATTTATATATATGTGAGATATATAACATGTGTATTTATATTTATATATATTTATATTTTACATAGCTGTAATTAAAATGTACATGTACTTTTACATGCTTTTAAATTTAGCTAACTATAAACATTTATAACACTGTTACATTGTCCTCCAAAGTATTATTTTTCAGCATTGTATATCTCATTTCCTTACATAGGTTGATAGCCTAAAAAACTTAGGCTGCCCTAGCCAGTGTGGGTCAGTTGGTTGAGCGTTGTCCTGTGCACCAAAAGGTCTTGGGTTTGATTCCTGGTCAGGGCCCGTATCCAGGTTGTGGGTTCAATCCCCAGTGGGGGTGTGTTCAGAAGGCAACTGATCAATGTTTCTCTCTCACATCAATGTTTCTCTCTCTCTCCCCCCCCTTCCCCGTCCTCTAAGATCAATAAAAACACATTTTAAAAAATAAAAATCAGGTTTTACTGGGTTTTCTATTATAAATAGGAAGAGAATAAGGTTTTGCAAAACATGGAATTGATACAGTTTTGAGGGATGTTTAAAAAAAAGAATACAAATTATCATACTTTTGCAAATAGGACAATGAGACCACTTTGTTAGGGTCCCTCCATGGAATCTGGAAGGGGCCTGGGAAAGTGAGAGGTCCTCCAGATTGTTTTATTGTCTTCACTATTGACTATCTTCAAGGATAAATAATTCTACAATAAACATTTTGAGCATGTAATTTTTGTCTTTCTTCTATTATTTCCCAAGAATCCAAGTTACTACGACACAATTCATCTTAAGGGGGTTGAGAAAGAAAGGAAATGGCTACATAGTGAACAGTTTATTTACACATTATTTAATTTAATCTCTCTTACAAGCCTGAAGAAGGCATTATCCCCATTTTACAGAGGAGAAATACACCCCCTGGGCTATTGCTGGAGGTCAGAATACAAAACTTGCAGCGTATGACGTAGTTTTTGGAAGAAGAGGACCATGGTGGCTCGGCTTTCTTAGGTAAAATTAGGATAAAGTGATGTGGGTGCTTCTGTCTTTAAGTCTTACGGATGTGGATTGCAGCAGACATTTCTCGGAAGGAGAGTGAAGTCAGAACACCTGGTTTGGGTCCTGTATTCGAGCGGCCTTGGAGCAGCCATTGAACTCCTCAAGTTCTCCGTCCCCTCGTTTTTGCAGTAAGGATAGTAGGTAACAAACCCTGCCTCACCCAGGGTAGTTGTAAGTGTCGGATAGGATCATGTGTGTGTGAGCACTTGGTGAAATCCAATGTCTCTGAGTTACTAGTGACATTGCCGGAGTAGCTCCCCTTCCTCGCCCAGGGCCCCAGGGAAGGGCGTGTGACAGCTGGGCAGAGGGACCCGCTGGCTCCATGACAGCTGATTTAGCTCCTGGCGCGCCCTCCTGGACTGAGCAGCCCCGCCATGCCAGGGGGTGTCTGGGTCGCTGCTCTTGAATGCCCCGTGCAGCGGCAGCAGCAGAGGCTGCGCCAATAAGTCTGAGATTCTGGGGGATCCTCTCCTCCTCAAGCTGCGAACTGATCATCAAAACATTGTGTTATAATGATATAAACACGACTAGTAAAACCCCAAATAACACTCCCGGTCCAACTGTGTCCCTTTTGCTCTGTCTTAGGTGCTGACGCATTTATCTAGGCATTTTAGCTGCCAGCTTAGTAGAAATCTTTAGTCCTGGTCTGACTTAATTCTGGGGGAAGTCTGCAGTTCTGGGAAACCAGGAGAAAAATAAAAATCTCAGGTTGAGTTGTCGTTTGAACATCCTTCACCAGATCCACGTTTAAAGCTGGTGTAAGTAGCACTGGCTTCTATTTTTTTTTTTTTAAATGCTTAAACCAATTTCCAATCCTGGAAGATTGAGCTCATCACCCCGTGGCGGGATCCGCGTGGCTCCCGGAGCGCGGACCTGCAGCTCAGCCGCCCCCAGCCCGCCGCGCCCCCCAGGAGGGTCCCCAGGTGGCGGCCGGCGTGGACCCGGAGCGGCACCTGGCCCGGCCGGTGGCAGCCGCACAAAGAGCGGCGCAGGCGGCGGCCCGGCCGAGCCGCAGAAAGTAGTCCCGACCACGCCGGCTCCAATGTTGTCCGACGTCGCTTCACACCCTCCGCGGGGAGAGCCGGAGCCGCCGGCCCGGGAAAGAATCCCATTGGAATGCGTCGCCGGACGGCCTTTCCGCTGCAGGTCTCTTGAGCTCGCCAGGCAGATCTCCCGGGGTCTCCAAGCAGAGGCCGAGGGGGCGCCCCCATTTCCTTTCTCCACTGCCCTGGAGGCGGTGCCGGGGCAGGGTCCGGCCCCGCGCAGGGAGACCTTCGCGCACCGAGAGGCGGCAGCGGCGGCGCGCGTCCCGTATCCCTGCGCCGCTGCGTGAGAGGAAGAGGCTGAATGAGGAACTGCGCGGGGGAAGCGGGGCGCCGGGGGAGGAGGCGGCGGGATGGGAGCAGACGCTGGCGTCGCGCGAGCCCCGACCAGCGCGGCGCGGTAGAGAGGGCGGCGGCGGCGCGCGCGGAGCCCTGACGTGCCCCTTTCTTTCTTTCTCTCTCCGGAAAGCCGGGAAGCATGAGCGTGCAGACCCGCCGCTGCGGCGGCCGCCCCGGCTCCTCGCCTCCGCCTCTGCTGGCCGCCCCTCGCCGGTGAGAGGAGAGAACGCGAGAAGGGAAGATGGGGGCCGTGCTGAGGAGCCTCCTGGCCTGCAGCTTCTGTGTGCTCCTGAGAGGTGGGCAGAGTCGGGGACACGGGAAAGTTGGTGGGGTTCGGGGTGGGGGGAGGTGGCCTTGTTTTGTGTGTGTCTGGGGGGTGGGGGAGAGGGGGAGAGGAGAAAAGGGGGACCGGGAGCGAGGAGAGGCCTGGTGGTGGGGAAGGAGGGAGAGGGGCCGGGAGCGGGGGCTGTGCGCTCCGCCCGGCCACGCTGCAGCCCCCGCCTGGGCTGCCGGACCTTCTCTGGGCACCGCGGAGCCCCGGCCGGGCTGCTGGGCGGAGGGAACCCCTGCAGCCCCCGCTGTCGGCGTGGCTGAGGGTCGGTGCGTCCGTCTCCTGCCTGGAGTCCTCAGGGAGGGAGAAGGGTCTGTGCATGTATTTTGGCTTTGGGAGTATTGGAGCCCAAGATGTTTTAAGGTGGGTCTCCTCCCGCGGAGCCCCCACTTTTCCGTGAACTTTTAGGGCCCCTCCGACTATTTCTCCAGGCCTTGTTGCAGCTCACCCGTGGCTTCCGTTGGGTATAGGATGATCCCGGGTGAGAGCGCAGTTGGAAAGGGGCTCCGAGGTTATAGGCGAGCGGTTCGGCCCGGGTTTCCCCTGGGCTTCAGCCCGCAATGAACCGGGAACGCTGCACTCCCCGGTGTTCGCGACCGGCCGCTATTTTCGGAGCTTGCAAGTGTGCAGTGGGCACGGACCGGGAGAGGCATCCTGGTGCGGGAAGGAGCTGGGTCCGGGACCTCAGTATCCCTTGCTGCGCGCGCTCCCCAGGGGACGGCGGGGCAGTTGGGTGACTAGCCGAGCCGAGCCTGGATCCTTGGCTCTGAGAATCGCGTGCATCGGTGGCTCTGTCACATACGCCGTGACTTTTATTCTGTGACAGTTCACGAGGTTAGACTGGCCGGGAAGATTTCCGCGGCTCCTCTCGAACTTAGCAGTGTGGAAGGTGGGGATGCGTCTGAGGCTCCCGAGCAGTGACCAGCAGAGGAACCCAAGTCCTCATTGATGCGAGGGGCTCGTACTAGCTTTGGGTTTTGTCAAAATTCTCACTCGTGTTCATGGTCATTTCTTTTCAGGCATGAGACCTCTTGAGTCAGTGGAGATTTTTAGCTGTTAATTTAAAAAAAAAAACAACCACAAACTAAACTTCTGTTAAACCTCCAAAACGGACTGAAGTTTAGAGCACACGATATAGTAACTAAATGATCTTGTGATATAAATGAGCCAGGTGTGCCCTTTCTGTGTTTATATATTTCGGATGAGCTTGAGTGACCTTTTTTTCCTCTTTCTTTTTTTCTTTCCTTTTTTTTTTCTTTTTGAGAAAATTCTTTTCTTTACTCTTCTGCAGGATTATTGTATTTATTTATATTTACTTATACTTATAGCGACTTATATTTAATAATTAGGACCCACTAAGCATATTCCAAACTGTTTCCACATGCAAACCCCAGAAAGATAATGCTCATTTAATTTTCTTGGCAGTGGATTTAATGTGGTGTTAGGTACCAGAGCGGTTTAATAAATGTGCTTATTTTAGTATAGTATACTCCCTGTTGAAAGGGGTTTTTGTTTTAATAAATGTGTTTATTTTAGTATAGTATATTCTCTGTTGAAAGGGGGTTTTGCCATAGCTGTGAGAAACAATTATATTAGTCATCGCATATGTCTATATTTTAAGACAGAAAGTTAATAATGTTAACAAATATGGGAGTCTGCTGATAAGTTAAGGGACATTTAAATCCATAAGCCAACATGCTTCTGGTTGCCCAATTGTATTTTTTGGAGGGGAAGGGTATGATGTTAATGCCATTTGTTTATTTTAACACCAAGTTTGAGCCTATCATTATTGGAATTAAGAGATGTTGCACTTGAAGTATTATTTTGAAGTATTGGTAGTATTGTAACAAGACCTAAGAATCAGTGGTTTAAATAGCCTCATTTCCACTAGCAGACAAAGTTGCCAGAAGTGGAGTTTTCATTTTAAATGTAGCATAATAATGGTATAAGGTGGTCTTTGAATTTAACAGTACTTGACTGTAAATACATATTATTTGAGCTAAAACTATCTTTTGATATGAAAGATTTTGATTCATAATTTAGATTCTTTTCATTATTTAATAATGTCATTCTCTGTTATAATAGCGATATTAGTTAACTTAGACTCCAAGGAGAAAAATGTGGTTAATTTGTTGCATTTAAAGTCATTTTTCTTCACAGAAGAGTTGAAGCTTTAACATTGGAAAGGTGGGATGATGAGAGGATTGGGAGACCTTTTGTCCTGTAACCCTGTTATATTAGTAGCTGAAAGTCAGGAAATAATGCAGTTGTCATCTAGGCTGTGTTTCTGCCCCTATCACTAGAGATGTAATGGAAAGAATTGGAGATTTCAATCCTAAAATCCTGGGTTTAAACTCCATATTTCACTTTGTATTTCTGGTCTAGTCAGTCAATTTTTCTGGCCCTCAGTTTCTTTACCTGTAAAATATAGATAGTAATATTGCTCTAATTTGCAGGTTTATTGGGTGTAATGAATGAAGTAATGAATGTGAAGTGACCTGCAAATGTTACTTTTTGTTAAAATTTTTGATTGTGGACATATCCTCAAATGCTGGGGATTTGAGATTTTATTTGTTTAAGATTCATGAATTCTTAAAGATAGAAGAGATATTGATCATTTTGGTCTAACAGCTTTATTTGCAAGTGGGGAAACTCAGATTCAGAGAGATTATACCTTGATCAATATCCTACAGCTAAGTAATGGTAGAGCAGGGATTTATTGTTCATTCTTTCAGCAAATATGTATGTATAGAGTACCTACTATATATCCAGCTCTGGTATATTGGTGAGCAAAGTAGACATGGTTGCTGCTCTGATGTACCTCGCAATCTAGGTTGTCATTTTTGCTATTCTCTTAGTTCCATCTAGGTCAGGGGTGGGCAAACTTTTTGACTCGAGGGCCACAATGGGTTCTTAAACTGGACCGGAGGGCTGGAACAAAAGTATGGATGGAGTGTTTGTGTGAACTAATATAAATTCAAAGTAAACATCATTACATAAAAGGGTACGGTCTTTTTTTTTTTTTAGTTTTATTCATTTCAAATGGGCCGGATCCGGCCCGCTGGCCGTAGTTTGCCCACGGCTAGGTACTGATTAGAAAATATTATATCTCTTATTTTCTAGAGGAAATATTTTTTTTTTAAAACACATTTTATTTATTTATTTATTTAAAATATATTTTATTGATTTTTTACAGAGAGGAAGGGAGAGAGATAGAGAGTTAGAAACATCGATGAGAGAGAAACATAGATCAGCCGCCTCCTGCACATCTCCTACTGGGGATGTGCCTGCAACCCAGGTACATGCCCTTGACCAGAATCGAACCTGGGACCTTTCAGTCTGCAAGCCGTCGCTCTATCCACTGAGCCAAACCGGTCTTGGCTAGAGGAAATATTTTTATAAGAATATATGTTTTGGATACCACCAGTGTGTATAATCTGTAATTACCATGTCCCAGTTTACTTTGAGGAGGAGAGGCTTTTGTTGTTTTATAAAAATTCTTTGCTACTTACCTTTGTTTTTTGGTTACTTGTTTTGGTGGGGCTGTGGTAAATACTTTCAGGATAAGCCACTATTTATTGTTTGTCATCTTACATTTTTATTAAAGTGATCCTTGGGCCCTGCTGGTGTGGCTCAGTGGTTGAGCATTGACTCATGAGCCAAGAGGTCACCAGTTCAATTCCTGGTCAGGGTTGGGGGCTCTATCCCCAAAGTGGGGAGCGTGCAGGAGGCAGCCATTCGATGATGTTTCTCTCTCATCAGTGTTTCTACCTTTCCTTCTCCCTCTCTAAAAATCAATAAAACTGTTGTTTTTTTTTAAAGTGACTTTTGGAAAGGTTTTTTAAATATTAGGTATGATGAAGTCTTGCGGAGGTAGAATGAATTTTGGAGTGGGAATCCAGAGAATTAGGTTCTAAATTTTCCATTAGCTAGTCGTGTGACCTTGGATAAGTCACTTAATCTCTGTACACCTTACCTTCATTAGGATAATGAATCCTTCTTTTGGAGATTCATTATTCATATGTACATATTAAGGGCTCAGGCATCCCCAGGTAGAAAGACCAGTTCTAACTTTGTTTAACCCACTATTCTCAAACTTTACAATACATTTTAACATGAATCTTTTTAACATTCTGCTGAACCTTTGTTCCAAGCAACTTACTTGAAGGGAACCTTCAAGCATTGGGTGATTCATGTGAATTGATATTTGATGACAGTTCCATATACAGAAGTTGAATCTGATATTTTCATCACTACTTACTTTAAGGTTTGCTCATCTGGCTAAGGGATAATTTGGTTTTGAAATTTAAGGTTTCAGCTCACTGTTATAACCAGCCTAAAAATAATTTCGAATGTTCAATTTTTCTTTCTTTCTTTTTTTGCTTTAATTGGAGGTTTTTCTATTTGTTGAACTGAAATACTGTTTTCATATAGTTGCACATGCTTTGGCTATCAGAAATGACTCCTTTTTTGAATATAAAAAGATTCTGTGAAGTAGTATATAAATGGAAAATATTTTATGTGAACTTAAAATTTGAACATATTGGATAAACAACACAGATTATGGTTTTGTTTAGGCCATGGGCAACTAATGAGAAAATTTATTTCCATCATGGAAATTTTATTGCAAATTTTTATTTGGAGAAGATTATAAAGGAAAGCACTATAATAGAAAGGTATGGGTTTTGTTGACTAACCAAGTTCAAATCTTCTACCACTTTATGTATCCTTGGGCAAGTTATTTAGCTTTCGTTTCTTCTGTTAGATGGGAATACCTTACAAGGTGACTGAGAACTGATGAAATAATGTTTATAAATGGGTAGTACAGTGCACAGTCCATAGTAGACTTTGAATAACTGGTCACTATTATTAACATGGCTAAATTAAATGAAATATTAATGCTCAGGAAAACATTTAAGTGCCAGACACTGTTTTAGGTACTCAATAGTTTTCAGTCAGTGGTTT